GGCTGGGCTCAGCCCGAGCCCACGCGCCCCCGTGGCCCGGCTGCAGGCCTCCCACCCAATCCCGCGTCCACACTGGGCTGGCCGGGGCCCTTTGTCAGCACCGGCCCTTCCTGCCCTAAGTCCCCGTCCCCGCGCCCAGCGCCCAGGCAGCACTCACCCGTGGGACCGTGCTCCTTGCTGTAGCCGAAGCCCTGTAGGGCGCCCTGGGGCCGGGACTGGGAGCCCATGCCTGCGGGGGGACCCGAGTCACCCTGATCCTTGGGGAGGAGCCCCGGGCCCCCCCCAGGGGAACCCCGTGACGGGGCTGGACAAGGCTGCGTACCTGCGGGGGGCAGGGCCCTGGGAGGCTGGGACGGGGGAGGAGGGGACAAGGTGTCCGAGAACAAGGTGCTCCCCAAGTCCTAGACAGGAGGGGAGGGTGCTCAGTGTGGCCAATCATGCAACCACTTAGCTGAGACCATGAAGGAGGGCAATTTATTTTCTAAAGGGTGTTTAGGGCAATGCTCACAGAATAGATGGAAAAGATCTTGACACAGGTCTGACCTCCAATCCCGTGTGACTTCACCTCCAGGTCAAAGTCCCTCCTGCACCCTCGAGCCTGGCGAAGGCCCACTGCCCACACGGTTCACAGCCGCCACCGCAGCCCCTCGGCCCCTCACCACCCACGGCAGCGAGGCCTCGGTCACCCCGGCGACTCCCCGGCCCCCGCCTCTCACCTGCCACCTAACTGCCTCCCTCAACCCGCCCTCCATCCCGAGGGGACAGGAACAGGCTCTTGTCCAATTCAAAACCCCTCAGTGGTTCCCAGGGGCTTTAGGGAAAACCCAAAGGCTCCCGGGAAGGCCCCCCGGCTAAGGCGCTCGGCCGGGCTGGTACCTGCCGCTTCCTGGATGAAGGCTGGGTTGCGCTTGAGGATGAGCAGGAAGGAGGAGGAGCCGTGGGCACACAGGTGCAGCATGATCTTCAGCACCTGGGGGGACGGTCACGTGGGGCGGGGCCGGGCCCAGAGGGCACCCCGGCTGCCTCCCGCCTCCCCACCCACGGTGTGAGCTCAGGACCGACCTGACCCCAGGGTCTGCGGCCGCTGGGGCCTCACCTTGAGCTTCACGCGGCCGGAGCCGCTGTGCAGCCGGTTCAGGAGGTACTCCAGGAGGCACTGGCTGCTGCCCAGCGACTCGTGGGAAATTTCTGGAAGGCGCTCGGTTAGGGAAGGAGCGAGCTGATCGGGGCCTCACTGTCACCGAACCGCGTGGGGTCCCTCCCTGCAGGCACCCACCCAGGCCCGCGTTTCGGGAGCATCGGGCACCGGGGCCTCCTGGGCTCCTGAGAGGGCCCCGGCCGCTGCGGACAGAAGCCCAGGGCCCTGCGTGGGGACACGGGGAGGATACTGGCGATCTCCTCGAACAGGTAGCCGGGACACGGCGCGTCGTCGTCCGACGTTCCCTTCAGGAGAACCGGGAGCTGAAAGGCAGCGAGAGCCCCGCCATGAGTGGGTGGTGCACAGGGGTGAGCCCACGGCCCCACAGGGGCCAGCCATCCCCAGGGGGGGCTCCTGGGGGCGCCAGTGTTCACGCATCTCGGGGTTGGCACGCTGCCGGGTGAGGGAGTGAGGGGACAGCAATGGTCGCACCGGCTGCAGGCAGCTGGCGGGAGTCATGGAGAGGCGCCTCGCTAACGGCCCGGCAGGACGACTTAAGGCAAAGCCCGACGCCGAGATGAGCCTTTCCCACGCGGGGCAGGTGGGCAGCGTGAAGTGGCCCCTAAGCCTGACCCACCCACGGCGGCTCTTCAGGGAACGGACCTTAGAAATAAGCCGCCAGGAAACAGCCGAGCATGTGCGTGTGTTTACTTGTTAGCAGCCAAACAGGTGCCCGTGACG